CCTGATTAACCACCGTCCTGTTAAAAAGGCTCAAAAAAACGTGATCCGTCTCTGCGTAACTATCACACACAAAAGTGAGTCATACTTTCCCTAACTGTCCTGCCGATCATTTTTAGCAAAATCATGCGGGAGGGAGTACGATCTCAAAGAGCTAGAATATGTCAAATCCTAATCATGAAAAAGGCCAGGCTAGAACTTCGCGAGGCTTAAGGGTGGGAAATACGACGGAATTCCTGAGCAAGTATGGCTCAAATGGTCCAAGAGAGCATGAAAGGTGGAATTCTTCACATATTTTGGCCTTATACTGAAAGTTGAAGATGATACTATCAACCAAAAGGAAAAAGTGGTAATGAAGAAGAGGGAAAAGACGTCTTTCCAGGATGGCTCTGAAGTTATTACCCAATACTGCTTCTTCTGCCATTGTTGTTGTGTCTTCTTCGGGCATTCTCAAACAGTTTGCCAACAGCATTGTTGGCACCATAGGGGAAGATCCTCTTCCTTAGCAGTTAGTCTCGGTGACGGGCTGCACTCCGATGCGCCTCGCATTAACGCTATCGACTACGAGGCCGGCGCTACTTCATAGAATGTGCCAAGTCCACGGTTCGACCCTCGAAATTGCCATGACTACAATAGACATCGGACAAAGTACACTAAGCGAGGTCGCCCTGACAACTCGACCAAGTAGCAAAAACGAGGTCAATAGAAGCAATAGAATATTTTTCTGTTATAAGAATGGCTCAAATTATGCACATGTTAGGGGCCGGTGCAACAATAGCAGGCAAGGCTATTTCGGATCCTGTGTATGAAGCCAGTTTGCCCGAAAGGTCCTCGAAAATAGGAATGGGGAGGCTTGGAAACGAATAGATGCATATCCAAGGCTTACACCAGTAACAGTGATTGAGACATGCAGGCCCAAAACTCACGGCCTGATTCCCATTAGCTAATTTGACAAAAAACGGGTATCATATTGAACTGAAGCTCATAGCATAATTAAGGAAAAATTCAGTTGGATCAACATTCAGCAAATCACACACAATCCAGAATTCTTCTTTCTTTCTTTCTGTTCGTGTGACTTCGTGTCAATCGTCACACAGAAATGCACGTACTTTTATGAGCTATTTCCTCTGTCAATCGGTGATCGAGATTCTGGGTTTGATCATGGCCTACTTGTTTTGGGAGGGCGTATTCACAATCGGAATAGACTCCAGATTCACAGAATACTTTAAGAATATATGATTTCCTACAACAAGCTACCACGCTACTAACGAAGCTTTGGATTGGAGAGGTAGGGTACGGAATTAATCCGGT